CTCTAATATTACATGCATGTATAAACAGATACGTAGGTACAGATATTACTACGTGAGGATATTGTGCCATTACTGGATTCGATTAAGTTTCTAATTTACATATTTTCATATTCACCTCCTTATGCATTTTCTTTTTAATTAACCAATATATTTACAACAAACAACACCAGATCAGCTGATTCTCATGCATAGAGAAATAGATAGGTACAGACGTTACTACACAAGAAAAAATGCGCCATTACTTTTTTAGCTTCAATTTCTAAATCATAAACTTTCACATTAACCTTATGTATGTATATTTTATTCATTTGCTAACAAATTTAAAACAGCCGTAGCCCGATCAGCTGATTCCCCATTCCCTTCGGCAGGTGAAAGTGGTCGACGAGTCCGGGGAGATCGTGCGCGCGGGAGAGGCGGGCGAACTGCTCGTCAGAGGCTACTGCAATTTCCTCGGTTACTGGGACGACCCTGGGAAAACGAGCGAGATTATGACGCAGGATAGATGGTTGAGGACAGGGTTGGTATTTCGTGGTTTAATTGATAACTGTGTTGGTATGGTAAGGGGTTTTCTTTATATTAAAACGTCGTAGTCACATAGTGTTTCGGGAAAGATGGTGTCATACCCGACTATCGAAATGTCAAATGTATTCCCAGTCACTCTTTAATCGTCGGGGAAGGTTCAGGATTGCCAACATACGATGCAACAACCTTCAAGATGCGACAATTTTTTAATCATAAGGAAAAGTGCGGGGGGCGGTTCTGGGAAAAGTCAGACTTGCTGGGCGTTTGAAAAATACGGCCGTTAAAGCACTGCCTTGAGAGAAAGGATTGCTTATTATTACATCGAAGTAGATATTGGGGAACGGATTTATTTGGATTGAACTAAGTGGTCCGCTTGTTTTACTATATTTTCAGTATTTCGGCATAGTTTTACTGTTGCATATTTGTTATTTTGTGATTTTATATCATAATGCTCACTTTTTGTTGCCTCCATGTACTCACGCCCTTTTCAAAAGCTGCGGCAGTTTGTATAATGATAATGGTATTAATATAATGACTGTTAATAGTAATGATGATGATAACGAAAACGGTGATAATGATAATTGTGATTATGCTGAATATATTGATGTTGATAATGATGATTATGAAGATGATGCTAATAATGATTATGAAGATGATGATGATGATAATAATGATTATGAAGATGATGATTATGATAATAATGCTAATGATAATAATGATGATAATAATAACGACGTTCACTTAACGTTTCAGCGACCTCGCCCTGATCCAGCCTGACGGTTACGGCCAGATCATCGGCCGCATCAAAGACATGGTCATCCGCGGCGGAGAGAACATTTATCCGGCGGAAATTGAGAACTTCTTCATGGGTCACCCGGATGTGATTGAGGCGCAGGTTAGTCTTGTTTATAAATTTGTTTATTGTGGTGTTTTAAAAAGCTGGTATTGTTGGTTACTGATTTTTAACTTGATATCGAAGAGTTCGGTGATTAGGTTTTGCTGTTAAGAGTTTCGCTGTCTGATATTACGTGTGGTTTAGTAAAATGTAGAAAATAAATAAGTTCGTGATGATGGGTAAATAATTAGTAGTTGTAATAGTAATTGTAGTTCTTTCCTGTTCGTATCTTCAAATTTTAATAGACAGTGTTGATTCGAAGACAAGGCAAATGAAACTGGAGATCTATCACCTTAATGACCGACCACTGGATAGCATAAGAGAGACCAATATATCCAAATTTCAGCTATTATTACCTGAAATTGTCATGTCATTTTTTCCCCCTCTACAATTCGATAATCTCATTCGGACGCAGGTGTTCGGAGTGCCCGACGCCAGGATGGGAGAGGAGGTGGCGACTTGGATAAGAAAGGCCGAGGGATCCAGCCTTTCGGACACGGAGCTCAAGGAATGGTGCAAAGGAAAGGTATGTGCTTCTCCGTTATTTATTTGCGTATTTTCTTGGCTCTTGTACTCGGGAAGATGCATATCATTTACGCTGAGACAAAAGATAAACGGATGTATTCTGATCGACGGACATCGGGATTCATGTATATGATTTCGACGGACTTAAAATTTTCACATGCTCTTAAACAAAATACAAATGTTGCAGTTTATTGTGATAAATCTGGAGTCACTGATGAGCACTGTGTGTTCGACAGATCTAGAATTGTACTTCTTACTGAAGAATGCGAATTATTTATACCGATGCCAAAGTAGAAACGAAAAAAATACTGCTTCTAGACTGAAATATTCAAATCATTTTTTTACAACTGTCTTAAAATATCCCTCTTTCGAAATTTCAGATCGCTCATTATAAAGTACCGCGCTATATACTGTTCAAGGACGAGCTCCCACGGACGGTCACGGGCAAGATACAGAAGTTCAAGATGCGGGAACAGACCATCGAGGAGCTGAACTTGAAGGCGTAAAGAGAGAGAGAGAGAGAGAGAGAGAGAGAGAGAGAGAGAGAGAGAGAGAGAGAGAGAGAGAGAGAGAGAGTGAGTGAGTGAGTGAGTGAGTAAGTAAGTGTGTGTGTGTGTGTGTGTGCGTGTGAGTTCAAAATGCGAGAACAGATCATCGAGGAACTGAACTTGAAGACGTAGAGTGATTTCTAAAAATAAGATCTTCATTGTTCTTTTACTTACTGAAAATTTGAAAGTACAATATAAGATTATGATAAGGAAGGTAAGTGTGTTGGTGGTTATGTGAATGTATTCAAAATTAGTTTCATTGTCAAGACGAATTTACAATTTTTATTTGTGTTTTATTTATACCATTTCTTCCACATCCTATATTCATATTGGAATCTAAATGGCTGGTATTTATAAGCGAGTGTGCATGATATCTTTTTCCCTGTGTTTAAAGCACTTAATGACGTCACGTACTGGCAAACGACTGGTAGTTTTATTACGATTTTCTCGCCTGTGACGTCACCTTTATTGTTATAGGCTCACATGTTTTATTAGGTTTATGGGCAGGTAGCAGTAGGCTTCATTTTTATTTTGTTGCTAGCATTATTATTGTAGATATTGTTATCTTAGCCACGTACTGTAGTTTAGCCAAGATAATACGAACATTTGAAAAAGAAATAAGACATTTTAGAAAATACTAATGTCACTATCTTCAAAAGTTCATTGCTCACATATATATTTTCATTTATATACTGAGGCATGCAAATCACATTATCTGCAACAAAATAAAAATGTATTTTATCGCATTTCTCCTTGGCTAGAAATACAATGAAACCTGCAACGCGATAGCCACTGCAAGCACAAAATGTTTTTTTTTAATTTCATATATAAACTTCCCGTTGATCATTTAAGTGAGAGTTTATCACAACGGGCATATACATTATTTTGCTGTTGATATTGTGTACATTATATATTGCTGATTATGCTTCATATTGTAGAATATGATACTGTAGATGCTATATACATTATTAATGTGTTAGAGTTTCGTGACGTTAAACCTAAATCAAAGCGAAGACTGACATAAAAAAGAACTACAGAGACAAGAGAGCTGTACAATCTATAGGATTTGGATTAAAAGACTAACTGACATCTAAAATTCCCCATTATATAATTCAGATGTATGTGAACAAGTACATGATACATGATATAAATCAAGCAGCGAAGGGAAGAACAAGAAAACACAAGACTATTTCGAAGGCCTTTTCTTTGTGTTGCTTTTTCAGGGGACAGCCGCTTGTCACGCAATACTGAAGGAGCGTTGAGATCAAGTGTGTGCTTACTACTTTTCAAATAATGAAATGGAGAATGAATCGTAAACACGAAGACACCATACCTAAAGCCGTGTGCACAGTGGGCCCTCGAGGGATAATGCAAACGCTACGCCTTGATCGCGTTCCGATTCAGACGTTAAGAAGGTAGGCAGCGAGGGAGACTAAGTCAACAGTCAAGTGTCACGTGGGTTCTGTCTCTTGTGCGAGACGTGAGAAATGCTTGAGGACTTCAACCAGAATTGTGCGGTGTACAGGCACGCGCGTATAAATATATTGCTGTCCACACGTCGTCAACAAAGCCAAGCATCAGCGACACGAGATACCTGACGAGACTATGCGTGGCACCATAAATAGAATGGTCTGTACTGTACTTTGGAAGGCAGGAAAAACGTTGGTCTTTATCAGTACGGCAATTTGAAAGGCAGTTCAGCTATATATAATCTAGTTTAATAACTTGATAGATTACTAAACTGATATTGCATTTGGGGGAATTGTAAATACTTGGTTATCACTGCTCTTTTTATTAAATCTATCATAGTCTCTTCTAAACACCAAGCAGAATGTACGTTTTGGTGACTGGATATCAAGGCTAGGATAATACAGCTTGCAGTGTGCTATAGCTCCACATTAATAAACAACTGAACTGGAGTAATCATATAAATAATCTAATCATTAAAGTAAACAAACATACATCCATCCTGCACAGAAACCATTTACCATTTCCATTGTACATCCTTTGAGTAAGTACCACCTTGCACCCGGGATGGACCTAGGCTAAGGATATCCCCTTGGTGCCGGGTGACACCGATCGGCGTGCAAACAAAACGCTCGAAAGCTGGCGTGTAGCCAAACGAGCCGGCGGCGAGCCAGTGATTCGGGCTGATGTCCCCTACTCACGCACTCAAAGTCGGCGCGCCGCCTTTGTTTGCTTAAGCGTAGAGTTTTTTTTTTTTTTTGTACACCCGGCGCCATTGGGATATAAAAGAACCGGAGTAAACACTAACACTTCGTAAGACTAACACTAGTAAGATTCTTACACCTACAAAGAAGAGAGAAAATCGAAAAAGAAAATATCAGGAATTATTATCCCCATCTTCGTACGGTATTCAGTTAAGGTGAACCGTCTATTTCGACTCATGTTTTCGAAATAAATGGTAAGAAAGGAGTGTCACGTGTTTCGGAATGGCGGTTCACAAACTGGCAACACTGGATGCTGATGTTGGATGTGGAGGAGGGCTGTGCATATAAATATTCTAGAGGCTTTGATAGACATTTATTACATATTTCCTAAGTATACTTTTGGTACAGGATCCTCTTTAAACTAACAAACACACACACTTCACGCCTTCAAGTTCAGCTCCTCGATGGTCTGTTCCCGCATCTTGAACTTCTGTATCTTGCCCGTGACCGTCCGTGGGAACTCGTCCTTGAACAGCACGTATCGTGGTACTTTATAATGAGCGATCTGAAATTTCGAAAGGAGGAAATTCTAAGATATCCGAAAACGTATATATCAGTCTATCACAATTAACTACAACGTTTGTATTTTGTCTAAGTGAAAGTTTTAAGTCATTCGGAAACATCTACATGAGTCTCGATCACACTGGGGAATCTTTTCCGGCAAAATTTAACCTCATTTCCCGAGTACAAGAGCCAATAAAATACATAGATAAGTAACGAAGAAGCACATACCTTTCCTTTGCACCATTCCCTGAGCTCCGTGTCCGAAAGGCTGGATCCCTCGGCCTTTCTTATCCAAGTCGCCACCTCCTCTCCCATCCTGGCGTCGGGCACTCCGAACACCTGCGTCCGAATGGGATTATCCAATTGCAGAGAGAAAAATGACATGGCAATTTTAGGTAATAATAACTAAAATTTGGACATGCTGATCTCTTTTACGCTATCCCCTGGGTCGATAGGTAATGAGGTAGTTAGGTTTATATTCAGTATTACAAAAATACGAACACCGCTTCGTGCGAACAACTGAGACCTCAATTATAACTTGTCCATCTAGAAGATACTAACATTTATGAAATAAAGTATTTAGCGTTTTTTCTGTGGATTTTGCGTAATTATAGTTAATGGCAGATTGTGGAATCCCTGGCAAGGCACTAAGTAAAACAACTCCCAACCTCAACAATCAATAACAGTAAACAGGTGTCCCTGTCACGACCAACAACACGTGTTACATATGATTATTACATATTTTCCATTAATTCTCCACATGATAAATAGTACTCTACGCTTTACACCACAGCGCACAGTTCCACTAACACACCTGCGCCTCAATCACATCCGGGTGACCCATAAAGATCAATTTCCACTGGATAGATGTTCTCTCCGCCGCGGATGACCATGTCTTTGATGCGGCCGATGAAGTGACCATAACTGTCTGGCTGGATCGAGAGGAGGTCGCTGGAAAGTTGGATCTATTTTAGCCTCTGTTTATGTTTCTGGGATTCATTCACGAGAGTTAAGTTCTACTGAATTCCTAAACGAGTTAATCATTGTAAATTTATCGATTCACTTCTGTATTATCATCATTATCATCATCATTACTATTATTTCTATCATCATCATCACCATCACCATCATCATCATCACTATTATTTCTGTCAACGTTGTGAGTGACAAACCCATAACAACAAAACTGCATTATACCACCACGGTGATTAACCCACGAAATACGAACCCTGTCCTCAGCCATCTATCCTGCGTCATAATCTCGCTCGTTTTCCCAGGGTCGTCCCAGTAACCGAGGAAGTTGCAGTAGCCTCTGATGAGCAGTTCGCCCGCATCTCCCGCGCGCACGATCTCCCCGGACTCGTCGACCACTTTCACCTGCCGAAGGGACTGGGGAATCAGCTGATCGGGCTACGGCTGTTAGAATTCATTAGTAAATGAGAAAAAATACATACATAAGGTGAATGTGAAAGTTTATGACTTAGAAATTGAAGCTAATAAAGTATTGGCGCAATTTTTCTTGCGTCGTAATGTCTGTACCTATGTATTTCTCTATGCACGAGGAAAATAAAGGAATATGGATAATAAAGATCTCCCCGGACGCGTCGACTACCTTCACCTGCCGAAGGGCCTGGGGAATGGGGCCTTACCGATGTGTCCCGGGTTCTATGCGTCCCCAATGGAATTTTTTATCAAAAGGGTCCTATGTGTCCCGGGTTCTATGCGTCCCCAATGGAATTTTTTATCAAAAGGGTCCTATGTGTCCCGGGTTCTATGCGTCCCCAATGGAATTTTTTATCAAAAGGGTCCTATGTGTCCCGGGTTCTATGCGTCCCCAATGGAATTTTTTATCAAAAGGGTCCTATGTGTCCCGGGTTCTATGCGTCCCCAATGGAATTTTTTATCAAAAGGGTCCTATGTGTCCCGGGTTCTATGCGTCCCCAATGGAATTTTTTATCAAAAGGGTCCTATGTGTCCCGGGTTCTATGCGTCCCCAATGGAATTTTTTATCAAAAGGGTCCTATGTGTCCCGGGTTCTATGCGTCCCCAATGGAATTTTTTATCAAAAGGGTCCTATGTGTCCCGGGTTCTATGCGTCCCCAATGGAATTTTTTATCAAAAGGGTCCTATGTGTCCCGGGTTCTATGCGTCCCCAATGGAATTTTTTATCAAAAGGGTCCTATGTGTCCCGGGTTCTATGTGTCCCCAATGGAATTTTTGATCAAAAGGGTCCTATGTGTCCCGGGTTCTATATGTCCCGGGACATGTACAAGTATGAATTGATAAACGTTTATTCAAAAGTGAACTGCACAGAATATAAAATACTTATTAAAGTTTTTCTTTACATTTTATAAAGCATGTGGTGATTTCAATAAAAAGAGAATAAAGTAGTAATAAGAAAAAATATACATTATAATACTTCTAGAGCATTGCATTTCGTCACATGTGCCCCTTTATTTTTTACTAATGGCACCAACTCCGACAGGAGACAAAACCCCACTTTTGACCTCCTCTAACTTTTTAAATAATTAATTCACACTTAGAATTTCTTGTATTCTGTGCAGGAAAGTTTCCAGATATTACATTCTGAAGACATTGTATAATTCTCTCTTTTGTTTAAAATTTTAGTGAATTTTATAAACGGGCAATAATGCAGGTTTAAAAAATGTGAAAATCAGGGATAAGTCTATAAAAAGGCAATTAATGTAAAGAAAAAATAAACTTTTGACATGTTATGACTTAATGCCAGTATGTATAATAATTTATTAAATTAAACTGTATAATTTGGTAAAGTTCTGACCCCTGTTTGATAAAATACAGTAACTAATTTTATATTTCAAGGTCAAATTCAAGGTCAAATTAACCAAAATTCACAAAAAAGTGAATTTTCATAGTCAGTACATGAAATTATTTGTTAGTCATTAGCCCGCCGAATGGAGTAATTGTGACTCAAGCATGACCCAAGTTTACCAGCCACTTACTGCCGTTGGGGTAATCGCTAAGGCTGATTGTGTGTAGTTTGTATACTTACTTTCAACATTGTTGTTCGTCCTCATATCCATGTCTCTCTCATACACGTTCCACAGGATGGGTGTGAATGTGCCATTTACGTAGGTATTCGAGACGTAGGCGAAGAAGTCCATCAGGGCAGGGTACCGGTTGATGAGATTTCTCGTTCGCCTGGCATTTCGCAGCAAGTTAAAGTTCATTTGGAGAATTGGTAATGGTAGGTAACCAATTTTGATAAGTATTTTATATTCTGTGCAGTTCACTTTTGAATAAACGTTTATCAATTCATACTTGTACATGTCCCGGGACATATAGAACCCGGGACACATAGGACCCTTTTGATCAAAAATTCCATTGGGGACACATCGGGCCCGGGACATATAGAACCCGGGACACATAGGACCCGGGACACACTGGGCCGACCCCCTGGGGAATCAGCTGATCGAGCTTCGGGTGTTGTTAAAAAAAATGATAAATGGGAAAAAAAAGACAAGAGAAGGTGAATATGAAAACATGTAAGTTAAGAATTTGAAGCTAAAATCGCAATTGCACTGAATTCTTACAAAGAAATATCTGTAATCTATCTATTTATCCATGCACGAGGAAATTAAAAGAATAGGGACGAGACGACGAGACCGCGGAATCAGCTGATAGGGCTTCGGTTTGTTGTAAATTTATTGGTAAATGAAAAAAGGAAATCTAAAAATGTGAATATGCAAATATAACATGGAAATTAAAACTAAAACTACATGTTGAAGTTGAATATGAAAGTATAAAAATTAAGAACTGAAGCTAAATGTTACAATATTTTTAGATAACAATATTTATATCTATCTATCTATCGATTTAGCAATGCATGAGGAAGATAATGAAAGAGAAATAATTAGAATTTCCCGGGACTCGTTGGCTACCTTCACCTACCAAACGGGACTGGGGAATGATTAATTGGTATCGTTTGATATCCAGGCAAAAGGTGAGAAAAAAGGAAGGAGAGAACAAGGGGAAAAAGGAAACAAAAGAGAAAAAAGAGATGAGAAATGATAGAAAAAATAAAATTAAAAGAAAGAAAGAAGGAGAGGAGAAGAAAGATAAAAAGAAAATTGAGAAAAGAAAGAGTAAAAAACGAAAATAGGAGAAAAAAAGAAAGAAAAAAGGCAAAAGGGAATAAAAAGAGGAGCAAGAGATTAAAGAAAAAGAAATGGAAAGAAAAACATGAGAAGAAAACGAGAAAAGATAAAAGAAGAGGAAAGAAGAAAGAAAGAAAAAGCGAAAGGAAGAGAAAAAAGAAAGGAGATAACAATAATGTAACACTCACCATCACTATAGCAACCATGTATTACACCCACCCATCCCCTCAGTGTGATATATATATCACATACACGCAATGAACCGATGCCTCTATGTAGTAAATATATATCACATCTTCGAACTATCACACACATGCGTAATGGATGGATACCGTGTTTTGTCATGTACATTTATATGGTAAATAATATCACTAACTTTAACGTATTAATATCTGTATCTATGTATCTATTTGTACATGTATGTGAAATTAGACTACAGTACAGGGAACGAGTCGAAACGGGGTGGTTCACATACACGTAATGAACCGATACCTCTGTGTGGTAGACATATCACAATACTCGTAATGAATCAATACTTTATTTTGTGATATATTCATGTGGTAAATAATATCACATACTCGTAATGAATCGGTACCTCAATGTGATCTGCCGGGTAGCCGATGGTGGAGGACCGGACTTCAGGAGGATCTGAAGGAAAGCACTGGAAGGTCACGGGACTCGTCTCAGTCATTCCGTACATCACCTGCAGTGGACGAGGGTCATTGTTATATTCATCTATTGTCGGTTTATGGCTATTGATTATTATATTGTTATGTTCACCATTATCCGTTTCATATTACGTGCAGTTGTACCAATTGTTATCTTGTTATGTTCATCGATATCAACTGATGGACTTTATTCATCACTATTACCGCTAACTCTACCTATACTAATGCTTTGCTCTTTATAATCATTATATCAAATATTCCCATAAAAAATACCTATTACTACCAATTTCAACAATTTATCCTCTTTCTCAAACACATTATGTAGAAAAAAAAAACTCCATATCATGTCGGTGCTTACTATAAGGTCCTTCATTCTGAGTTCGTTCATGACAGCCATCACTAGGTCTCGCGGACAAGGTGCTCCTCCCATGATTCCCGTCGAGATGGCGCTCAGATCCGTCGGGTTCTTGCGGAAAGCGTTCAGAATGTCGACAAACATCGTGGGCGTTCCGTAGCAGGAGGTGATTCTGGTTGGATGAGAATTCGTTTTTTGATTCAATGGGAAAATGGTTGTAGCAAAATGGTCTTGACTCGATTGACTGATTTCCTCTCTGTCTGCATGTGTCTGTCTGTATCTGTATGAGTCTCTCTTGTCTCTCTCATCTCTCTCTCTGTCTGTCTGTCTGTCTCTCCCTCTCTCTCCATCCCATCTTTATCTCGCACACCATCTCTTTTATATGAAAAGAACAGTTAAAAAACTCACTGACTTTTCACTTTCGAGAGTCCTGACGATGACATCAGGGTCAAAGCCGGCACTGGGCATGACACAGGTCGCCCCATAGAGCATGCCACAGATAGTACCCGCAACGCATCCAAAACAATGGTACAGAGGCACGGAGAGACATATACGGTGAGGCTGTCAAAATATAGGCCTTCAGTATTTTTTTCCTGGATATAAACTGTTTTGAAGATCGTAATATGGACATTTTGAAAGATATAATTCCAAATGAAATCTATTAGGAATACAAGACAATGGTGTTATTTTGTTTTAATAGTGGTTTTGTTTACCTTTTCGCCATAACCGATGCGCTTCCCGATGGAGTGGTAAGCGTTGTTCACGATCTGGTGGTGGGACAAGACAGCTGCTTTCGGCAAACCAGTCGTTCCCTGAGACAAATTTATGCTGATGTTGATTGTGGTTAATTCTGATCGCTCTCGTTCGTTAGGAGGGCGATAAAAAAACAGTTATGGTGAACTATGATTAGCAAACATCACTGTTACAAAGCTTCCTAATACATAAATACGATTATAGAGCATTCAAACGTCCTGTACAGATGGGACCAGAGGCCAATTCTACAGCTAATACATACAGTCTGCCTTGAAAATGACTTATTTGTCATGAGAATTGATTTTAGATGTCGCTACTTTTCTTTTTCCAAATCCTACGCGTTAATACGTTCCTATCACTCCATAACGCTAGATACTCACGGACGTATACTGAATGCTGCAGGCTGAATCGAACTGTATCTTAGAGGACAGTTCATCTACCCTCTAACGGTGGGAACTTTCACCCACTTCGTAAAGATCTCCGAATCTGAAGGTGCCACTGGAAATAGAGGCACTCGTGAAGCCTAGTGCCTAACTGGGTGAAGAGACATATAATACGGACGAAACTTTTTAAAGCGCTCTGTTTTTTTTCTCTTAATAGAAGAATATACATTTTACTAGAGATTTTTAAAATTTCATTCACTAGGTAAGTCTTTTACTAGAGGAGAATAAAGTTTCTTTCAAAAGAGTCTACACAGAGCCACATGCATAGTACAAAACACCTCGTACAGTAAACCTTTGTATTTTCTCAAAATATTCTCTCCTTAATACAAATGTTGCAACATGAAAATAGTGAAGAGGATCGTCACCATTTCAAGAAACAACTTAACCTTAACTAAGACATATCTCACCTCATTTTCTCTTGAGATCGGATGAACACTTTCTTAAGGTGCAGGAGTGTGGCACTGTTTAGGTCACCCGGTACAGAGGATGGTAGTTCGGGGGCCAAGGCGCACAGCATCTCGTAGTAACTAGGGAGAGGTCATCTTGGGTCATCTTAAGTGTAAAGATTGATTTGCACATCGTTACTCTGAGCTATTATTAACATTTCATCAGTACGGCATAGATAAAAAAATATATATATATAATTACTGCAAAATAGAACAATAAGGCGGTATGGCAATAACAATAACAATAACACTCGCTTACCAGCTTGACTCATCTGACTTACTCTGAGCTTTTATTAACAGTCCATCAGTACGGCATAGATAAAAAATAACAATATAATTACAGCAAAATAGAACAATAAGGTGGTATGGCATAAAACAACAACAATAACATTCGCTAACCAACTTGACTCATCTGACTTACTCTGACGTTTTGAACTTCTCGTCGCAAACAATGCCTTTGACGCCGACTTTGTT